ATATTGACACGTCAGCTGTGGATGCATCAGATTTGTATATAAAGTGCATGTCAAAATGTTTACAGTATATGAATATTTTGTTTTTATAGTATTACTGTCTAGGAATTTCAGGGTATTTTTTTTTTCTGTACAACCTCTCCAGTAATACCTTATTGTGGGCATAGACATATTGTCACTAAAAGAGTAAGAGTACAAAGTTTGTATCAAAACAGAGCATTGTATTTGCACCAATAGAAGCTAAACTAATTTTACTTTTATTCAATCTTTACCATACTTGTTTCACTAAATTAAACTCATTGTATATTTAGATGTCAATAAATACAGTTTATTTCAGCTATCACTACATTGTTTTTACTTCAGTTAAAGTAGCAACATAGAGGGAAATAATTTCTGAAAGCTATTAGAATATGCTTATTTTGAGCAAACTAAGTTTCTGAAAATGCATACAGTACAATAAATACAACAATGTATTTTCCATGTCGCTACCTTGCAATGACCATATTACATATACCCTAGTGCTTGAAAATTAGTTGCAAAAATGTGTTATATACATGACCATCCTGGATTTTAACTTCAATGAGATTCTTGTCCAAGATTAGACAACTGAAATCAAAATAGAAGCAGTGTTATTTAGATTTTAAATATGAAGCAGTATGCATGCCAATCGTATCAGGTTTTCAATTAAAATTGAACAAATTGCTCTCACCTGTCTTAGAAACTGTGCAGCATTAAGTAATTCACTGCAACCATATGTAATGTGTCTTGATGTACCCGCACCGGTCTTATTCTGCAACACAAGCAAGGTATGGTAAGGAACAATAATAATATATTCTTGTTATAAGACAGTGGTGACAATTTAGCAGGACTTACTTTTTGACTCATTTTGAAGATTACACTTGTGCATGCAAGTGTCTGTCGAGAATGCCTTGATCAGTTTGGTATAGTGACAAATCACAAAAGTTAACAGGTACATGTCAAATGATTCAAGAATTTTGTTATTTTGACTGAAAAATCCTACAAAATTTTGAGATATGCCTCGGCCAATTCCTATCTGAAGGTTGTTTATTTATTTCATATATCACTTTTTGCGTGTATTTTGATTTGAAAGGTTCAACTGGCAGCCATTTTGTTTTTCAGCTTTGTTTGTCAGTGCTTGGTTTCTTAGTTTATATTAGCTTATCAAGTAATTATGGGATTTGATCATTTTTGACCGATTGATAGATATTTCACTTATTTTGCTAGTATACAGCGCCCTCTGTATACATATTTTGATGTGAAACGGTTTATAAGTGGTGTAAAAAAAAAACTGTAAACAAAGAAAGTGCACACCTTCACATAGTCCACTAAATTCTGGTATTCTATGTAGTTGCCACCTCCAACCACAAAGACCAGTGCTTCCTGGAATGGAGTTCGGTTTCTGGGAATGGCCGAGCTGCAGACCCAAAAAAAAGGCATGTTAATTGCAGTAGTTTTTTCTCAAGACAGGAGTGTTTCCATGGTGATGATGTTGATCATGTTGATTCAGCACACAACAAATGCAATTGTTGGTTTTTATGCGCTCCTAATGGAGCAAATATGGTATATTTAAGAAATTTCATTCCTGTGATTGAGGAAATAAACTGTTAAAAGTTAAAAGAAATTCTATTTAACTGGAAGATGAAAACAAGCAGCCAAAATTAGAAAATTGAAGATATCATGAAATGAACAAATTTGAGAGTGGTCCATATGTAGTATCTATATATGTAATATCAAAGTAATTGGACTTGTCGTTTTTAACAAGAAGTCGGAAATATCACTTTTTACCAAAAATGACAAAAATATTTACCAAAATTAGAGAATTAAAGATATCATTACAAAATGAACAAATCTGAGAGAGATTCACATGTAGTACCTATATATGTAATATCAAAGCAATTGGACTTGCGGTTTTTAACAAGAAGTCGAAAATAACACTTTCTACCAAAAATGACAAAAATATTCACCAAAATTAGAAAATTGAAGATATCATCATGAAATGAACAAATTTGAGAGTGGTCCATATGTAGTTAATATATATGTAATATCAAAGCAATTGGACTTGCGGTTTTTAACAAGAAGTTGAAAATATCAGTTTTTACCAAAAATGACAAAAATATTCACCAAAATTAGAGAATTGAAGATATCATCATGAAATGAACAAATCTGGGAGAGATCTCCGCAAGGTACATATACACCAAGTATCAAAGCATTCAGGCTTGTAGTTTTCAAGAAGAAGTCGAAAAAGTAAAACATTGACACGGACGACGCCAGACAATCACTCATATGACAAGCTCCGCTCGACAAAGTCGACAGCGGAGCTAAAAAACGGCATTTCAATGGGGGGTTTCAATCCCAGCAATTGCTTTTTTTTTACCTACCTATCAGTAACTCTCAACATTTTGGGGTCAAAGTATCTATAATCATCGGTCTCCTGTACAGATAAAACAACAGTTATCATAATCAGCATTATTTAATATGTATATAAGAAAATAATGTTAATATATCCAAGACAAATTTCATTCCAAATCATATTTACTTTAAAATATATGCCTTATAAAAGAACCAATCACCTACCTGATTAGACTTGATTTCCATTAATGCATCAACTATTTTTGTAACTGGCAAATTCTGAAAAAGAGACCAATCATGTAAAATTAGTAAGAATGACAGGGTTCATCAATCAACTCTTTATGGTTATCTTAGATTTTTTGAGAGTATAATGTACTTACATAAGCATGTCAAAATATTATGGGCCAAAGTTTTTATACATTCATGCACTGTGACAAATTTGAAAAAAAAGTTTGACTGACTGTGGAAACAATGAATCAAGTAAAACTTACATGTCGTTTGACCACAAGGTTTTTCACACCCTCCATGACGAATGAAGAACCTTGAGACATGAGCTTAGAAAACATGCCCACTGTTTTTGTACCGCCGCCACCATACATATTTGGAGTCGTACTAACGGCCATTTTGGTGTAAGCCCTGCCATAAAGAAAGTAAAAACTTTATAAAACTTTCAATAATAGAAGATGGACAGCAGCAATTTACAATGTAATTCTATTATGCAGTATTCACCGACTATCAATTTAACTTCAAGAAAAAAGTTTTTTATTTTAAAATTATGCTTCTATCGGGGTATATTGATTTTTACTCCAAGTTGAGATGTGATCTTGGCCTGAACTTGTTTTCTTAACTTGGTACAATGCTGATTTTGTGTACCCTGTATTTATGATGCCGACAAATATAGCAGATAGTTCAGAATATCAATGCAGTTCACTGCTCAGTTCTCCCAACTTACTTCCATCTCTTAACATAGTACAGGGGAGCTAAATTACATCCCGCTCCTTCCAATGCACTTGCATACTGATCAAACTCAACCTGTTAAAACAAAACAAAATTAAATTAGAGTAAGCTTGTCCATTTCTTGAGTTGAATAACAGTTGTAATTCTTCGGTTAATGCTGAACCTAATGGACATGATTTTCCAATGCCTTGAACGAAAGCGTTGAAAACCCAAATACTCACCATAAACCAACAATGAAACTTTTTGAACAAAGACGAGAGATAGGAAACATAGGTGTAATTTGTGAAAGCTGACAAAAATTGACACTTACATCAGTCATAGATTGACCACAGATATAGAATATAATAAACAATCTTATTTTATCTTCTGCTGTTCCTGCATCGGGATCATTAATCATATCAAGTATTGACTTGTCCAGGGAAGACTTTCCCATCAGCTTCTCTTCCATTTCAAAGTAAATATCAAGCTTTCTAGCCTATAAAAAACAAATAACACTCCAATACCAATATGAAAATCCTCAATAATGACATAAAGAATTGAAGGATTAAAGTTAAAGAACCACACTTTCAGTAAAGAATTATTAGTGTGTAGCAACAGAGGATAATTAATCACATAGACATAGCACTCACCTTTATATGATCCAATACTGCAGATGCAATGTTGGTATGCATATCAATAACTCGCTTTCTCTCCAGTAATTCTGGAAGTGAGCTTTAATTGAAAGAAAAGAAGATGAGTGATTAAAGCATTCAATGCAATCATTTTTCCTGTCAGTATTTTGCTGTAATTTTTGTTCTAATTATGGTAAAAATGAATATAATCAACCTAACTAGAAAATAATTCAAGTTCAATTTTTTCCTGAAAAATAGTACCATATTGACTTGGGGCACAGAGCTTATTAACTTGGGGGACTTAACACTGATAATAGTAGTCATTCTGGTAGAAAGTGTGTGAAATCTCTTGCATTTTACTTTCATATTGAATTACATTGGCTACATGTCTGTGTGTCTCTCTTCAAAACCCTCTCAGTCAGTGTCACTGAAGCATGCTAGAATTAAATTTTCCGTACCTATCGATAATCAGAGCAAGTACAAATCACAGAGTGAAATGCATAAACAGGTTTACAATTCGAGTGCTTGAATGACTCATTGCTTATTATGTTAATGTGAAAGAGGAGACAATCCAGTAACCAAGGTGACCTTACCTGACAGCTGATGTAATTTTAGCAGTATTATCAGATATCATGCTAATTGCACTGTCATCTTCCCCTTCTAAACCCTGTATCATGAGAAGAAATGAGAATTACAACAATGCTTGGAATCAGTGTGCCCTTTAACAATATAGTCAGCTGGAGAAAGAGAGAGAGGTCTTCAAGGAATAATGGTAATGAAATCAGTATACGATTTCCTGTAGCTTTATTGACATCCGGGAATGAGCATAACTGGTTGTATCATAACAAATCTGTGCGATATAGCTTTACTGTTTTGCTAACTAGTAATAGTTCAAAAATAACAGTTTGTTATGGTAAGCTGATATCAATCTTGTTACTTTGTTAGAAAAACAGTTATCTATATTACTACTGGTTGGACTGTTTTTGTTCGCAGTATGCAGAATATCATACAAACACCTAACACTATGAATCTGAAGCACTCACCATGGCACTTTTTAATCTTTTCACTTCATCTTCAGATGCCCTGTAACCTTCCAGTTCACTCTGTACAGCCTCCGCTACAGTTGGAAATGGGCTGAAAATTAGCAATTGACGAGGTAATATTATAAAGTAGAAATGATTATTAAACCAATGTAGATGAGATAAGCACATGTCTAGCAGTGTGTCTACAAAAACAACAAGGGTCTGGATATTCAAATATAAAACTAAATGCATCCCAGATGTTTAAACCAGATTAACTACAAAGCTAAATTAAGACAATTCTTACCTTCCTTTTTGTTGATTCCAAAATTTATCTTTTGGATTAAGATCATATGTTTTTGTTTTCTTCTTTGGCCTAGCCCCTGATTGCGATGGAGATGGGCTTTCTACAGTTTCTTCAATCACAACTTGGTTCAACTGCAGATCCTACAAATACAATACCAACAAAACAATCAGTATTGTAATTGTTCTATTAGAAGTGAATGTGCTTATGTAAATGAGGGTGAATCGATGGTCAAAATATGGACATGTTTCAACTATTTAGCATACAGTAAATGCAATTTTTGTTTTAAGTGCACTTCTATTGGAGGTGTTCTTCTTATCAGTTTATTAGATAATGATAACAAAAGCACCTCTCACAAGTCCTGAAGTTAAACACAAATCCAACCATAAACTGCTTAAACATATGTGTTGTCTTGCAAAGCCAAATACCATCAAACATGTGATCTTTTGGCACAAATCTAACAATTTGATAACTTCCTGAGCTCATCTGGTGACGAAAATTGATTTCAAACATAAATGGCAACAGCATTAAAGTTCTCAGTCCTCAGGAAAATGGTGATTACAGAAATTCAAGATCATTGATCAAAAACATACTCCGGCTGATAACCATAGATGATGCATGCAGCAGATAATATATAGAGTAAAATTTGTGTGGCTGTCAATGTGAAAAGAAAACTAAACTAGTAAAACAATTTGAAAGTCTAATGACCAAAAACCCATGTAGTGTAGTTGCGCTATTAGAATCAATATACATTGCAAACAATTATTCTTCTGATAATCTTTTCGTAAGTGCCTGCAAATACAACATATCTCATTTTGACAGTATCAATGTGTTAATCCACCAGTGTAATAATAACTTACCAATACATCATGTGCTAAGGCTTGATATGTCCATGTATGATGTAATGGAGTGGCTAAATCCATATTACGATCCAACATAACTAACAAAGGTCTCTGAAAACTGTACATGTAAACAAAATGACAGTATTAGACATCATATGCATAACATACAAGTACATGTAGGTGGGTACATCTATGAAACTGTTGTACATATTATTTTTGCATTTCAGCATATCATAGTACTGTAAAATCTGTAATAGAAGCTGCATTCCTAATAAAAGTCGCACTCATTATATTTTGGAATAATTGAGAACCGAAAATTTATCATTTCTCATATGTGTAAATGCTCTAATAAGAAGCTGCATTCCCTCTGTTGCATTGTACCATTTTAATAGAAGCCGCGGTTACTAAAACAGATTTTACAGTATTAAAAGTAAAAATTATTTTGACAATTTCATGATTCTTGAGCTATTGAAGGTGGTGATCAGTGAAATCTTCATAATATCTTTTTTTATTAAGTCACACTTAATGTATAAAAATATTCTAAAACAAGAAATGCTTGATATTTGAGGATTTTTTTAGCACAAAAATGATCACCATTTGGCCACTTTGAAAAGGATCGTCAAACCAAAATTTTAACATAATCAGTCAAAACAACTCAGACATATGGGT